GAGAGCACTCAGCTGCCAAGATCCAGGAGTTAAAAAAAGGGCTTACCTGGAAATTCAGTTCAAGTGCCAGTGTGCTCCGGGGCTTGGGGTGGTTCTAGGCTAAAGCCTAGAAGGTTTGGGGCTGTGCTTTACTCAGCACAGACAGGCAGACAGGGCTTGAGGACTGCTCTCCAGCTGCTCTTCAGGGGAATGTCCTTTCCCTCAACGTGCTTTCACCCGCCTCTCAGATTGCAAAACTGAAAAAAAAACAAACCAAACCCCGAAGGGTGGAGCATGAGAGCTGGAGTGAGCCAGCACAGCCAGCAGCAGTGCAAACCTGCCTGTTGTCAGAGCAGAGGCTGCTTCACTTTTTCACCTGTTTGATGCTCTCTGCAGGAACCTGTTCAGGCTGCCACCAAAATATTTTGGTTTCTGTAGCTTGCAGGAGGTGCTCAGGTGATGTAGTTTGTTACTCCCAGTCATTAGATTACTATTTGTTTGGAACTGTGGGGAAGGAAAGCTTGCATGCATTCAGTCCAAGAAGGTTTTTGCACTGTTTCTGAGGAACACCAAGATTTCTGCACAGTAACCTGCATCTGCAACCTGCTTACCCCAGTCTGCAGCACAGGCACTTCACTGCTGCCTTTGCTTCCTTTGCTCTCTGTGTGATTTCCATGTGGTTTTTATTGCAGCAAATTTCATAGAATGTAAGAAAGCACTGGGCCAGCAGTGTGTGTGTCTCCTTTGCTCTTTGCCCACAGGAATCACCTGCAGATGTTGCTGATGGTGAAGATGCTCTTGGCACAGAGATGACTACAAAGTATTAACACACAGGGAGCTCCATCCTCTCACAGTATTTCATATTGCTTTTGTATCTCCCAACTGTCATTGCAGTTTGTCAAGTCTCCTTCATTCCCTGACATCTGCAGCTGGATCTTCCCTGTTAGCTCCCCACAGCAGTTCCAGTCCCTCACATGTAGTGTCAATGCCAAGTTCCATTCAAACACTGATTTATTGGGATAATTAGCAGAGCTAATAAATCAGATCAAACTAAGATGTCTGTGATAACCCATTACTAGCTCCACTCCCATATCCAAATTTGGCTCTTTATCATCCCATCAGTGCCCTGTCTGTGACCCCACAAGACAGA